GCGCCCCCGCCGCGGCACCGCCCCCACGCGGGAAAATCACCCAGTAATAATAACAACAACAGGAACAGCGATAATTCCCGGCAGCGCGGGCGGTGCGAGAGCGGGCAGCGGGGACACCCCCCGGCCGCCGGAGGTGTGGGTAGGGGGGCGCCCTTAAAAGTTGGAGGCCCCACGGCCAGGGAGTCGCGCAACCCCGTGGGAAGGGTGGGCGAACCGCCCCCGGCTCTCCGGAGGAGGGAAGGAGGAGGGAGGGAAGGAGACGGCGGCGGAGGATGCTGCGAAGGGAAACTTTGGAGCGGAGGGAGCACGTGAAACGGGGAGAGAAGCGCCGCGCAGCGTGGGGGGCGAAGGGGAGGGCTCGGCCTCTCTCCATTTTGCCGTCGCGATGCCACAACTGCATCCAAGAATTTTTAAGCTATTCTAAAACGTATTTATTTATCCATTCAGTCGAAAATTGTCCCTCCACTAAGGTTTCCCTCGGAGCTCAGGGAGCCCGCCCCAGCGCCGAATCCAGCTTTTATGAGAGAGGCTAACGCGTCCTGCAATGGAAGAGGTCTCGTATCTTAATGAACATCCCCCATAATTAGGAGGTTGGGGCGGTGGCCTTCTGGGGAGTGGGATTTTTGATTTGCACCAAGTGTCCGAGGAGGCCTCGGGAAGCGCCGCGTGGGCTCCCGGCGCCCCCCGGCAACCCAGATGAAGTTCCATGTGTCTCTTCTCCCCAAGTCCACCCTCCTCCCGCCAGAGTAGAGCCGAGGATATCAAACATTCAAATTCAAAAACGAGCCAGTAGGAATATTCCTAATTAATACGACCCCACTAATGAGTCAGCAGAAGCCAATCGGTTTCATTGTTGCTCCGAATAATTTGATTAAACGTGGATTTGTGTCTTTAAGAGGGGAAGAACAATACCCGAAACAAACATTTCCACCTTCATTTTTCAATATGGCAGTTACCCCATAGCGGAAATATAATTCTTGGCCCAGGGCTCGGACAGTAACTGTTCTGATGAAATTCGCTGATGCGGGTTTAATTCAGCCGCAACCCTGCAGTTCCTGCAGATAACATGAGGTTGCTCATTCCAATATGTGTTTACTCATAATTCGTGCCCATTACAACAGATTGAATAGACTAATTTTAAACGCGCTCTGTCACGTAAAGTGACATTCGTACGAGCAGCGTTTCCTAAAGCAGCTTTCAAAGGAGAGTTTTGTTGTTGTTGGGAGACTATTTGTCTCATTTCCGGGGGCAGATTACGATACCTATAAAACAGTAGTGAGTTAAAACTTCGCTCCACAATAGTTTGTATTGTTTGCAGTCTCAGCTGGACTTTCACATTCAGATGTTGATTGCCTTCGGGTTTTTTTTCAACTTCCTTAACCTCTTCAGCCCAGCTAATCAACAAACACACCTGGCAGAATTACAGCTCACTAGCTGCATGCTTTTAGAGGTCATTTCAGAAACATGTATTTCCTGAAAAGCAGATTTCTCCGGAAAAATAAGGGGTTTTTTACTCTGTGAGAATAGAGTTTTAAAAGGAGGAAACACCAGCAAGCAAACACTCATACACAGCATGCTAAACGCGAAAAGTCTTTTAAAAGAGCGTAATTTTTTGCCAGTTTAAGTCAAAACGAAAACGCACCATGAAAAAAAGAATACTCGGGACAAACAAACCCCACCGGCCTTACTTCCAAAAAGTTGTGGGCAGACGATCTTTTGTTTGAATCCATCACACAAAGACCAAAACAAAATTTAAAATAAAATTCGCTTCAGGCTTAGTCATATTTACATTTTGTAGCATGGGTTACAGGCTGATTTTTCCCCCCTCCATTTCTTTTTGTTTCTTTCCCGTTTTTCAAGTGACTGTTTGCGTCCAAACCAAGTTGTGAAAGCCCGACGGCAGGCAGCGAAAATATTTATTCGCCGATCCCATAACACGAAAAGGAATGAAATCTGCACGTTTGCCTGACTGGGTCGTGTTCGAGTAGTTACAGTGACAGCCAAGCAATCTGCATCGCAATCTCTGCTTCAGTCACATTCAGGCGTCCTTTCCGCTCCTCCCCCTACCCCAGAAAAACCCGAATCACAATAATCTGCTGCCCCCCAAGTCTGCCGAAGAAATGTCCGGCCTGAACACATTTCACAGCAATTTTCCTTTACCATTCCCGCCCCCACTCTGGAAAGCAGAAAGAAAGCCAGTCGCTGCATTTTGCCACCGCAACAAAGTCACACTTCGCGATACCTGTGTATTTCATACCCTGTTTATTTGTTTTCGTAATTTCACGCACCCCCAGCACCTCCTCCACAGAACAATTCTCCTTCCTCCTCCCGCCGCAAACGCGTCCGCGACCCCAGCCACTTTCGGATACAGGTGCGGGAGTAGTTACCCTCTTAAGCTTAAAAGCCTCCTTCTCTTCGTATATAAAACCACTTTCAAATCATTCTCGTGCTCGCCAGCGTCATCAAAACCAACCTGTAACTAATAGCTCCTAATCCAAACAGTTTGGGCAAGGCGGACCGTTGTTTAGACTGGCGGGGTACAGAGAGCCTGGCCGGGGGGACGCGGGCGGCTCCTCCCCAGCCGGCTCCCACCGCGGTAACTTGCAGTTGACACACACCGAGGTAGAATCGGAGGGCAAGGGGAGTGGGCAGAGCCGGTCCTGCCGGAATATTTTGCCCGGGGGCGAGCTCCGATACTCCCACAGAAAAAGATAGGCTGCTTTTTTTTTTTTTTTTTTTCCTCTTGGTCTTTTATTTGGGCTCCCCCGAGCAGCGCAGGCTGCCAGCGCTGCTGTTCCAGGGACTGCGGGGGCCGCTCCACTCCGCGCCCGCCTCCGCCATCCCGCCACGCCGTGGCAGCACTGAGCACCCGCGACCCGCAATAAATAATCGGCGCTCACTGCAGCTCCAGTCCGGCGGATACCGCAATGCAATGCAAATGCAGCGCTTTATCAGCCCGGCGGCACAGCCGAGGCCGCCGTTTAAAGCCTTCCGAGCCGTTCTTTCGCCGTGAGGAGGCGGGAGCGGAGCCGGGCGGCGGCGGCGGGGGGTCCCGGGGGCGCCGTCCGCGGGTCCTCGCTGCCCCCCGCCGGCGCACACCGCGGGGCACCGGCCCGCCGGCCGCCGCTCCCCCGCCCCAGCGCCGCACCGTAACAGTCACAACAAGGAGAGAAGGGGGGGGGAAGCTCCGTCTCCGGCGCTGAAATGGGTTCAGCAGCCGCGAAGCCCGCTCCGCGCACCCGAGGCGCGCAAGCCGCGAACCGCCGGCAACGGACCCACGGCGGGGCAAGGGATTTATGCAGGCAGCGCTTGATCTGATAGAGAAAACCTAAGACACATTCAGCCGTTTCCCCCGTCTAGAAATAACCTCCCGGACACGGCAGAAAAGCTAGGAGACATTGTGCTGTTTGGTTGTTGTTTGGTTTGGTTTTTTTTTTTTTTTTTTTTTTTTTAGTGAAATAGTAAAAAAATAAATCACATCTAAATTTCATCAACCGCAAATGAAATTTAAGCTAATGAGCTAATGCTGCGAATCAGTATTAAAAAAATGTTTGGGGATATCACTTTTTTTTTTTCCCCTGGTGCTGGGGAAAAAAAAAAAAAATCCCCTCCACTGATGCTGTAAAACTGAATTATTAGAAAATAACCTGAACGTCACAACATACCCCTGCCAAATGCAAAAAGAAATCAACTTCGAGAAAAAAAAAATCCACCGTTTCTTTGCTAAATCACAGAAAATAAACATTTTATTTAGGCATATTTTTGCATGCACTGCCTAAGTTAAAATCAACTGAGCTGCAGCCATCTCTATTTTTGGCCGGTAACATTTCCATTTGGTTTAATTGCACATGTCTAATATTTAAACGTATTAAACCATTTTTCCCTGCTTACAGTAGTGTCATATACATTTCTCACCTTTTAGGTTCTGGCTCACAGGAGCCCCTGCGACTTTGACAGCTGTCGCTTTGGCTGCACAGGAGACGAATCGCCCTCCTTTTGGTGCCAGAAGAAGCAGGAAATTAGCCAGGTTGCAAGTTGAAAATCTGCCACGCCAGTGCTTTGAATCCAATATGCCACACCTTCCAGCGGGGGAACTGGAAATTGCCATCCCGGATCTGTGTTCTAGGCGGCTGCTTATGCCGAACCTCAGCACACTTTGTTCACTATTGCCTTACAAAGAACAAATGAAATGGGGATTGAAAGCCAGAGAGATCCGAAGCAGGACAGAGCTCAGCAAAAGAATGCGGCTCTATTCTCGCAAGGGAAATTATAAAAAAGTTCATGTTCACGGTTACCATCCACATGACCGACAACGACCAATGGAAAAACCGAACAACTCATAAAGTTGTATTGCAAAGTTGTAAATTTTCATAAACAACAACGGATTTATGGCCTTTTCCTCATCACTAAGAAGAGGCAGGTCTTAGAGAGGCGCCATCTTACCACAGAGGCAGCCCTGGAGTTTTTTAAAAGACCTGGACTTTGTACTAATTTTATTAAAATTACAATTAGTGCGTTGAACAGGAATGGAGTGTAATAGAAAAAAGGGAACTTCAGCGCAAATAACGCTCCAGGTCTTAACTGTATTTATGCGGCCGAATAAAAGGACTTTTCAGGTTCGATTTTTTTTTCTTTTAATTATTATTAAAAAGAAAAAAAAAGGGGGGGGGGGGATATTGATATTACGTGGTGCCTGGCAAAAATAAGACGTTTTCTAAAGCGGGGCAGTTTCCCCCCATTTTCGTGCTACCGTGATGCCCCCTGGCCCCCGAAAGCCGCACACACAAACCACACATGTACCCGATCAGATCATTTACACTTGGAAGTTTCGTTTTTCACTTTCTGTTCATTACAAAATATTCTTTCACTGCGTGCGATTTCGACTTAATCGCCGAGCGTCTGGACTGGGGTAATGACTGCAAGAGGACACGGGAACACGGTGGAAGGAAGCTCTCC